GTACTGCTGCAGATCCTGTTGTCCAGAACCCAACAAGTCCAGAACAGTTTCAAACTAATCCAAAGCATCTGGCCTGTAGCTGGAAAGAAAACAGGAAGAGAAGTGAAACATCTTCAACTCCAAAAAGTAATCCAGTTGCTATTTTTTATTTAGTTACTTTTTTGTAGCTAAAGAGATCTCAGTGGACTGTCAACAGAGAAAATGCCTGTAAATAATGACATGGTGGCACAGAAGAAGGAAGATGATGGATGTGAAAATAAGGTTAGAAGTATAAAAGTTTTAAAAACCATAAATCGCAGAAGACATTTCCTGAATAAACCAAATGATTTGATTTATGAATGACTAAAATAGCCCAAAGTATGCAGAAGTATGAGATCTCAGATGATTGACAGCATCACCTGCTGGTCTTTGCCTCCAGTCTCTGAGCTCCTTCAGACTGATGGGTCTGCAGATGCACTTCAGGAATCCAGGGCCTCCTGGTTTGACCTCAGACCTCCTCACAAAGAAAATATTTGAAACATGTGAAGGGGGTTAACTCAACTTTTATAATTACCACCAAAGCTTTGTTTTATTCTGAAACATAACCGTGCTAAATATCTGACTCCATACACAAACCTTTGGTAGATTTAAAATATCTTCATGTAACTTTCCTCTTTTAGCAGCCACCATCATGATGCTGCCCTCTGCTGGTGGGATGACACAACTCAGTCACATAAAACAACTTGTTTCATTTGAAGTTAATTTATTATTTCCTTTAATGCTACAAAGTTTCCGTTCGTGGTGTACCTGTCGGAGCGACACATACACCCACACGTAGCCTACAGTGCATTGCTTTCATCAAGTAAACCGAATTCATTGATGTGTGTCTGAACGGCGAACTGTCCGTCATGGTGAGGCCACCGATCAGCCTTTCAAGTGGGTTCCAGGCGTGTTTCAGTTCTCCAGTCCGGGTAGGTCCCAGCCAGTCGAGTTCAGTTTGAGAGGAGAGAAAAATGCTCCAAAAGCCAGTCTTTGATTCAGTTTCCTGCAGGATGAGTCATCAGCACAAACTGGGGTGGGGGAGGCAGGAGGGAGGGGTCGCTCACCACTAAATCAGCCTAATCCCTACACAGACAGTAAAATCACAACGTATCTGAACTGATCTGGTTAAGTCTAGTTTCATGTTAACAGAAGTGCACATTTAATCTAAGTTCTGCCGTCAAACATTAGAATGTATCATGTTCTGTGAAAGAACAGCAGGAACAGTTCCACGTGCAGCCACTTACAGCCACATGTCACAAACTCAAGGCCCGCTGAACAAATCCGGCCCCTGTGAACATCTTATCTGGCCCTCCAAGATGTAAAATATTTTATTCGCTCCTCTTCTTGCTCAAGAAGCTGAAAAATATTTCATTTGGTGCAGACTTCTCAGGACAGTTTTCTTTGAAGACAGAAAAAGTTGGATGTTCAGTAATCTTTCATTTTGATGTGGGAAGAGCAACAGAGAACGTCAAACTCAAACTGATGAACCTGCAAACAAGTATTTGACTTGAGTTAATGCGTCAACTGAAACTGGCCCTTGGCTCGGACAAAGCAGAGTTTGACGCCCCTGGTGCCTGGACTGTGGTTGTTATGGAGACCAAAGTCTGATCCAAATATGGTGGAACGTCAGATTTGGTTTAGGTGTTGGGGAGTTAGTTGGGGGTTGGGGTACAGAAATGGATGGAAGTCAACACAAAGGATGGAAACATGTTTGAGAGGTGCAGAACATTACATCTGTGTTGTTCCTGTGAGAGCAGCATAAAGTCTTAGTGCAGACGCCTCCTCCCTCTGTCCCTCACAGATCTTATTGTTTATTTGCAGATTTGTAAAAACAAACTCGGAGCTTCCTGGCAGCTGATTGTCCTCTTTGGGCCCCTGTATCAACAGGGGGCCTCCTAGGGGCCTCCTCAGTTCACCTCCAGCTGGTGTTTTGAGTTCTTGCACTTGGCAGATGTGTGGATCATTCTGGAGGAGACAGATCAGCCGAGTCGTCTCCGTTCGGGTCGGGCTGGGCCCCCCTCTCCTCCTGCTCCTCCCCCGCGCTCCCATCAGCCTCCTCCTCGATGGTGACGCGCGTGTCCGCGGAGGAGCACAGGGAGCTGACGCTGCTCTGCTCCGTGCACAGCGCGCACGCCAACGGAGGCAGCAGCGGTCCCTCGAACCGGGGATGTCCGAAGTGGTTGCCGTGGTTACCGCAGAGCAGGGACACCTGCGCTGTGGGGGAGGAGAAGCTGTGCTTCTTGGTGGGCAGGGCGCCCCATTCCCGCTGCTCCAGCTCGTGCACGAGGCGCGTGAAGACGTTGACCCTCTGTTTCTCCTTCCTCTTGGAGCGGAAGTAGCCCAGCATGATGCCGCAGACGAACACGGCGTAGAAAGACATTACAATCAGGATGTAGAGGTACGCGTCCCCGTCGCCTCTGTCAGCCCGGGAGTCTACGGGGCTCTGCGCGTGCAGCAGGAGGGGCTGGGGGTCCGCGGTGTGGTTTTCCAGGTGCTCCATTCCTTTCAAAGTACAGTCCGTGTTTGGGGCCTAAAAAAATACATCCATATGTTTATAAACATGTCTTTTACGCACGTTTTACGCACAAAAACTGAGCACTTTATCCATGTACAGTTGTGCTTAAAGATAATAAAACAGTATTCATGAATCTTTTTCACAATTTCAGATCTTTTTTCGTACATTTAGTCAGATTCCGCCATGCCGAGTTTTATTAAAGTTATACGCTTAAGTATATTTTAACGCAGCATTATGGATATATATAATATAGGAAATGCGTGCTAATATTTATAAAAAGTTGCATGAACATGTGCACAGATCATTTTGGCTCAAACTAAGTGAAGGAAACTCACCAAGCTCAGCAGCTGAGTCTCATGTGAGCCTCTTGCTTCTCCTGCAGCTCCTCTGAAGTTT